TCGTGTGTGAAGTCCCCCCCCCCCCCCCCCCCCCCCCCTCTGGTGCACCTCCACCTCCGGATCGGAGTCCTAGATGCCATGACCTGGCGTCTACGCCTACCAGCGTCGGGGGTGGGGTTTGCTGGGGCGGGAATGTGCGTGCAGGTGGAGGGAGGTGGCTATAGACAGACACCATGTGGACAAGCTATCTCACTCTTAATGAGTAAAAAACATGCACCGCCTGTGTTCTTCTGAGTCAGATCCCTCCCCCCACCAGCCCATTGTTTACCGTTTGTAAGACATCCATAACTTGAAGCTCCATCTCCTCAACACCACCTGCCTTTGACTTGGTTACTTCTGCCTCCACTCCACCCAAACTTGGGAGTCACTGAGTGTCCTTATTAGCTTACTTTGCACCTTCACTGTGAACCACATCATATCATGGCTCCATGAGCGATGCGAGCAAAAGCTAAAAGCGTCTCTCTGCCCCACCATTTCTGGGCTTGCTCATGTGTCGATTGCATCTTCATGGCGCTCTTATGCTATTTGTCTGGTCATACATTCGCATGGGTGTGCATAGGTGTGTCTGTGTCTGCTCCAGTTGGTGGTCTTAGATGTCCTGTCCTCACTTCCGTTACTATGAAGTGGCAGGAGCGCTTCAGGTTAATGGTTTGCTTTTCAAACCAGAGTGACCAAATCTTCGAGAATCAGACTCCTTTTTCTTTTAAGAGTCCACAATGGCTCGTGTTCCCGTTATTTTAGGTTGTGCCGTTTTGTAAACGCTCAAATGCACAAACGGACATTAAATGCTAGCTATCAACTGAATAACAAATGAAATAAAGTGAAATTATGCCTGATTTGAAAAGGCAGGAACGAGGCAGCGGCGGCTTCTGATTGTTTCATTGCTTCCTGCGGGATGCAGGGAGGTACGGCAGATGTTTGTGGAAAGCGATTCCACTTTGCAGAATATGATCCGAAGTGGTGGTTCTGCCTTTTTTTTTGTTTATTTGATTTATTTGGGTTTGTCAGGTGCAGGGTGCATTTGAAAAAGATTTGGGAAAGTGGTCCCTAACAGGCAGCTAATTGCAGAGTAGCGTACCGGTGCCATCACCGCACTCAACCCCCCCAGGGAGCACGTAGAGTGCCTGATTACACAATGTCTACACAGAGTCAGGTGCATTGTTCCCTTGTTTTCCAGAAACACTAAACATTTTATTTCTGTTCTTCCATGTTCCTAGTTTGATTGATCACAAAATCACAAAAATTATTAATTAGAGAGAAACGTTTGTGCTGTTGACAAATACTGTTAGAGTGGTTCATTTCATGGCAACAAAATGACTTTATATGCAACACACATATTATATGTATGAATCACCCCTCTTGTGATTAGAAAATAGTTCACATCAGTGTGGAATGTTCCAGCCAGACAGCCCTGCAAGCAATTGGGGGGGGGGGGGGGGGAGTCTGTTAAGGACATGCATCACAAATACATTAATATGAGCTGGGTATCAGAAATTCAGCCACACTTTGTTCCCGCATTTGCATTAACTTTCGAGGACTTAAAGCAATATTTTAAGATTCCTGGGTATTTCCACATTATGTTTTGTAAATATTTGGAGTTAATTAACTGTACTCCTTATTATTCATTAGCTCTCTATGTTGTTCCTTTTTAAAATCAATTACCTGACAAATATTACCAGGCAGCCCACGGTATAAACCAAAGCCCTCTGTGTCACTGTAAGACAATGATGCGGCACTGATCATTCGGTCATCCTAACATCACATTAAGGTTCACAGTGATGCATTAAAACGGGCTTTAACGAACTTAATTAGTCACAGACATGAAGGGGCCGATCTGAGGTTATGCAGGGAGGAAATCAACAGTCATAATCAGTCTTAACTTAATTTTCACTGCATTATTAGGCATCAAGGCAAACACACGCACACAT